CCCCAAAACCCCAAAACCCCAAAACCCCTTTAATTGTCCAAGGGGTTGAAATAATTATCATAAATTAATAAACATGGAAGGTAAGGTGCTAATTGGATGTGTACAAACTTCTACTCAGGCAGGGTCAAAACTAGCTGTTAGGCCAAGTCAATCTGTGTGCTTGGTGAGGGAACTTCGGCAATCAGGCTGAAGAGTTAGGTTTTTAGGATTTTTGATAGCTTGTTTACTAGATTTTTGAAGATTTAGTATGAAGAAATGGGAGATAGACTCCCTCTATTGTTAGCCCTTTTGTAATCAAAATTGGTCTAATAGTCCTTACAGATAAGCATCAGGATGAGCAGAGTGTTGATACAGAACAGAAATTGAACAAGATGGTCCAAAAGATCCAGGATTTGTACCAACATATGGATCATAAGGAGAAGTTGTTCTCCGCCATTGGTAAGATTAACTTGTTGCTGATTCTAAACTGTGATATTTAGAGAAGGAGAAAGATATGAAATATGAGAAGCTAACTGAGGAGTATAAGTTGCTAGCAAAAGAGAAGGAGGATGCCTGTAAGGAGCTGCAAGAGAAAAGAATTGAATTATGGGAAAGGGAAGGGTCAAGGGACCTTACTTATGCAATCAAGAATCATATCCATGACAATAGTCTCCTTCAGAAGGCCCTTGAGAAGGAGAGTCCTAAAAGAGATCACTCTCAAGCTAAAATTGAAAGGTAATCCTTGTTTTACTAAACTTTTAGAGTCAAAGAAGAAAGAGATCTTATCAAGACTCAGCTAAATGATCTCAAGAACAAATACAAACAAGCATGCCAATCCATTTGTGTCAAAGATACAAAAATTAGTGAGATGAAGACTTCTATTCAAGAACTTGAGCACAAGAAAAGCCTTGAACTGAAAAACATGGAGATTAAGAACCAGGATCTTATAAAAGAGTTGAAGGCTACTCAAGACACAATGCTCGATCTTAAGGAGAACCTTCACCAACTTTCTTCGATGACTACTCAAGAGCGGGAAGAGAACAGCAATCACATCAAATCCCTTAAAGATCAGATCGATGCTGAATGCATCAAGGCGATGAAGAAGGAACGCCAAGGTGACACCATGGAGATTGAGAACACCCATCTTGCAAGCCAGAACGAGATTCTCCAAAAGAAGTTATCTGGAGTGCAATCTGACTTAAGAAAATCGAAAAAGGAGGTAAATAAGCTCCGCAAGGACATTGATGACTTCAGACAGCCCACTGAATTCGACAAGTTTCTTGGTAATTCCTTCCCAACTTAACTATAGATGGTAAAGAGCACACCATGAAATCTCTGATGGAAGAGAATGAAGCCTTTAAAAAGAGACTCATCAAAGCTGACAGCCAGAGAAAAGATTTTGAGGTCATACTCGAAAAGTATTCACTGTAAGTACAAGAAATCTTAATGTTTAGAAAACTCCAAACCCGCATTAAAGCTGATAAAGGAGAGTACATCGATTGGAAGAAGAAGTTCAAGATGAAGAAGCTTGATGGCATTAGAAAGAACCAGAGAATCTTTGAACTCCAAACCCAAAATCAAGAATTGGTCAGAGATCTTAAGGCTAAAGAGAAAGTTCAGAAAATGATAGAGAGTCTGTATGATAGGAATGGTTCTATTAGGACTCAAGACCTGCCTAAAAATTTCACTGATGTTACCCAACTCATCCATGATCTCGAGAGAAGTAAGAGCAAATGCAAAGAATTTGAGATCATTATTGATGAAAAGATGGAAGAAATCAATACTCTCCTAAAAGAGAACAAGACTCTCAAGAATAAAGTCTTAGAACTTTACCATAATGAGAAGGAATCTCATGAGTATGGCTCTACTCAAATTGAATCTCTCATCAACCAAGAAGCAGAAATCAAGATCATTAAACTCGACGCGAAAATCAAAGATCTTGAGAAGGAGAACAAGTCTTTAAGTATTGCCCGCACTGATTACCAGAACAGGTATGAGACCCAGGTTCAGGAAAATAACATGCTGAATAATGCAGTGCAGACTGCAGAATTTGAGCTGAAGAGATTCCAGCAGCTTGTTAATGCTCTTAAGGACTCTGAAAAAGAAAGCAATAGCAGGATCTCTACTTTGAATGCTCAGAAAATTCAACTTGAATCCAAACTAAAAGAGCAGGAACTAATTGTTGTAAGACAAAAGCAGGATTCTTCTTCAGAATCAATTGAGACACTAAAGCAGGAAAATGAGCTGTTTAAGAAGTTGCTAAATATTAGCTCTAACAAAGAAAGCACAACTAAAGTTGATGTCCCTAAGTTACAAAAAGAAGTAGCTGATGCTAAAGAAGAGATCAACAGTCTGAACAAAAAGATCTTTGCCTATAAACTAATGCTGAAGGAATCTGATATACTCTTGTCTATTTTCAGAGATCAGGATTCTTCCAAAAATCTAGAGGCTATCAACAATGCTATTGATGTAGAAGACATGAAGCTTGAGGAGTTGATGAAGAAAGTGAAGCTCCAGATTGAGTTCTGTGTCCAGAATGTGAAGGCATCTTTAATCTCCTCCTCATCAGTCCCTGAATCTGAGTCTGCCAACAGCTTGATGCACAAGCAGATAGAGGAACTCTTCAAAGAGAAGGAAGATTTACTTGAGATGATAAAAAAGCAGGAGACTACTTATAAAGAGAACACTGAGAGGAACAAGAAAGTTTCAGACCATTTGAAACAAGTCCTTGACCAGAAAAAGGCTCTTGAGTCGAAGATTATTAGCATGGAAAAAACAATTCAAGAACTTGAAGCCAAGGATAAGGAGTCAGCAAGCCTCACTGAGAAGATCAAATCTGAGTCCTCACTGAAGATTTACGAAAAGGATAGCCAGATCAAGCAAGCTAGTGATTTGATTCAATCTCTCAAAGATGAAATTGAGACTACTAACTCTAGCCATGAGTCTGAAAAAGAGCTCTTAGTGATCGAGAAGAAAGATCTGAAGACCCAAATTATCTCCTTTGAGGAAGAATTCCGCACCCTGAAAGAACAGCTAAAGATTAGTGCTGAGAAGTTCAAGCTTAAGGAACAAGAGATTTGTGAGCTTAAGTCCAATTATGAGTCTCAGATAGAAGAACTCGTGTCTGAGAAGGAACTTAGAGATATAGAAGCTCATAAGGAAGACTCAATTAAAATCCTTCCAGACAAGGGTAGTCTGTTCCTTGATGCATTGTTGGGTAAGGAAGAGACTGATAAGAAAGCACTGGAAGATTCTCATTCATTCACAGTGAAAAACTCAATTCTTCAGAATAAGATCCATAACCTCAATCAGAAACTCTTTGCAGTAAAGGATGAGCTTATTGATAAAGAGATCGAAATCAAGAGGTTTAAGGATGAAGTCAATGATTATACCATGAGACTTGGAAATAACTCAATCACTTTGGAGAACCTAGAGGAGAAATCTAAAGTTGACACTGAAGAAATTGCCAAACTCACCAAAGAAAGAGACCAGCTGCAGGTTGAACTTGCTAAAATTAAGGAAGATCTTGAGGTTAGAATTAAGGAATATAAGTCTCAAATAGAAGGAGCTACAAAGAAAATCCAAATATTGAAGTCTCAGATTGAAGCTAAGACTGGTGGACAGACAGGAATTGACAAGTTAGGATCCCCTGAACTCAAGAAAATAGTTGTCAGAATGCTAGAAATTCTAAGAAAGTCTAAGAAGATCCACGAAATCAGAGAGGAGGAGATCACCAAACTGAAAAATGAGCTTGAAGATTCTCTAAAGTCATAATTCCATAAATCCAAACGCTATTTATTTTGTCAAAAAGGGGTTTTGGGGTTTTGGGGTTTTGGGGTTTTGGGG